TCAATGATAAATTTCCGAGACAGTGACTGCAGCGCTTGGTGTCGGATGGATGAATTATTTTCGAATATACGCCCTTATCAATCTCGATTATATTCTTGTCAGTTATTATATCCATATACTTTTAATTGTGTTAAGGGGCCTGCACGCGACCTGTTTTTTTGCTCAAAAACATGCCTTACAGGAAAAACTCTCACGCCTCGTAGATTGGTCCGATTTCCGTAATTTTTTTTTTGTTAGTTAGAGGAAGACTTCTTACAGGGCGCATTGGACTTGGATTTTCAAAATTATTTTTCTAAGTCTTATGTTACAAGTATGAATTTAATCAATTTTTACAACTTTTTAGTTTTCGTATTATTTTTTGTTTTTAGCGACGTAATCAAAAATCGAAGTCCAATGCGCCCTGTAAAAAATATTCCTCTATCTAACAAAAAAAAAAAATTACGAAAATCGGACCAATCCACGAGGGGTGAGAGTTTTTCCTGTAAACTGTTTTTTGACTGATATAATACACCCTATCAACCCCCCCTAAATAGGTATTGGGTAGTAGATTAGTGGAAAAGTCTTATAGTTGAGGTGGCAACTAAAATATAAAATTTAATTTTCAAATTTTATAGAATTGCGGAAAATTTGAAAAATCGCGACCAGGCCCCTTAACTATTAAATTATTTGTTTTAATAATTGAAAAAAGATATATTTTTTCAAATATAAATAGGTTAACGCATTTTATTCACTTCAAAATAAATAATCAAAACAAGTTACTTTAGGCTAATAATATTAAATGAATTTTATTAATAAAGACATCTAGAAATTAATTATAACAAAATATTTCTAAATTATTTTCAATATAAATCAATATAAAAATCAATCCATTAGTTATACAATATCAATTGTCATATCATATTGGAACAAATATTTCTAAATTATTTACAATATTAACCAATATAAAAATCAGTTCATTAGTTATAAAATATAAATTTTTCATATCATATACGAACAAATATTAATTCTAAATTATATACATATAATACAAATATAGAAATCAGTCCATTAGTTATAAAATATAAATTGTCACATCATATACGAACAAATAATTCTAAATTATATACATATAATACAAATTAGTCTTGAGGCTTAGGCATAGACTTACATAAACAATTTTGATTAAGAGGATGTCAGCGCACTAGAGAGAGAAAACAAATAGTGCGCTGACATCCTCTTAAGGAACATTTAACAACAATAATTGATATTTTAATTACAAAAAAGATTAAAATTTTCTATTTTTTAAATGTTTATATTTACAAAATTTAACATAACGATTATAAGCATTGATTTTAATTGGATCTTTTTCATTGACATTAATTGATATTTTACCATTGAGAATTTTATTGATATTGTTACACCAATTATGTATTAAAAATTTAATAATAAAATTTAAAAAAGTTTTACTAAACAATTCTTCATGGACAGGACATGATAGTATATTTGAATTTAGTTGTTGATTAACTATTGAAAAAAGATTTGATTTTAAATTTGAAGTGTGACATAAGATTGGCAATTTTATAGATATTATTTCAACTATGTTTTGTACAAGGGAACAGAAGGTTTCATTTGGATATTTTAAAGAGATTATGTTATTAGAATACTCGCGGTTAGAAATAATATCATGATTACTTGTTAATTGAGTAGTACATAATTGTGTTAAGCAATTGCAGTTTTTGAAAAAAGTTTTATTTAGTTTTTTAATTATGTAACCTGATATGTAAGTATGTGTTTGTACAGTTAAATTTTGAACATCTTCTGGTTGTTTTATCAAGTTGTTGGTAATGGTCTCTGCACTAACAACACTTTCGGCAACTTCAGAAGTACCATCATTACCTTCGCCTCGTTCTGAAGTTGAATTATCAAATAAATATTGATAAGAAGTCAAACAAGATGTTGCTAGATCGTCTTCGCAATTACTGCCAGGAGAATGTGTTGATAATAAATTGTTTAGAAGTAATGTCTTATACGATGACGAAAATGAAGTGCACGAAGGATTGTTGTTTCTACATCCCATACTGAGAAGAACCAAAGAAATTTTCAAGTGAATCTTGATTTAGGTTCTGAGGTAAGACAGACTTAATGCCCTTACTATGTAGGAATTTAAATATTGCTTTTAAACCTGTGAACAAATTAAACTTCAATTTATTGATGGGAAAATTAGAATTAAAATATATCAAATAATAATAATTTAAATATAAAAATGAACTACTAACCTCTAATTGTTTTTTCCCAATTTTTCACAGTGGGAGGTCTTTGACGTTTTTGAGATTTTGAATCAATAAATACCATAGAGTGTAATACTGGTAATGATTTTTCCCACAGATCAAAATGATTAGATTTCATTGTAACTGCTGTTCTATATTTTTTACCATCAACTATTTTGCTATAAGAACCATTCACAGAATCAAACAACTGGTCAAAAAATAAACAAAGATTTGCAGTACCTCGAGCATCGACTTCAATTATTTTTTGAGCTGAAACACAAGGAAGCAATTAGTATGTGTTAGTATAAATTACTTCGTATAAGATATGTATGCCTATAAAAAATATCATAACTTATTATAATATTATACTTACAAGCTAAGAATGCCATTAGTGAAGATACTCGCTGGCTAAAAACTTGGGCTGCACACTTCACCTTCATTTTTGAGATTTTTTGAGATATGACATGGTTATCAGTTAACCTAGGTAACATCTTCAAATTCTCCATTTCACTATCTTTCCGATATAAATCTATTATATGTTGCCATTTAGTTTCATATGTGATGTTGTCAATAGTGAAAATCAAGTTTTTTGTCAACAAATTATTTCGAATACCTATGAACATATTAAAACTATAATAAATATATAAATATGAGTAATGTATATATTATTACCTTTTAATAAATGTGGTGCATCAAATAAGTGAATAATTTGAAAGCATTGATTGTTACTTTGAATTTCATACATGTCATCTCTATATTCCTTATTCTGTCTGAGGTAATGCGCTTTAGTAATAGAATGTAAGTTATTGATAGCAGCTTCATTTGTCGCTCCTTGGTCACTTATAGTGGCCACTACATATTCAACTGGTCTCAGTTGAATACACTTCACAGATGACATTTTTAATAATTTTTGAAAGTCTATGGCTATTTGTTGACCCTTGACAAAAGTAATATGCGATTGGTTTTTTGTATTTTTTAGTGATATCACGAACCATGAACACTAATGCATGATCAGCAAACTTCTGAGTTCTTTCATACCCATAATCCTCAAACCCTTCGATTCTGTCTAAATGTTCATTGTAATGTAATTCAGCATTGATGCTCATTTCGTCAAACAACAAAGAACAATATTTTTGAGACGGTGGTAATTTTTCAACATTACTTTTTAGAACTTTCATCATAATAGGATTGATACCAGTGTTTATGGGTACATTGGATAATAGATTACTTAGTGTTTTACGACTGGGTAAAGTGAAAAGCTTTGATAGTAGGCGATAGCACTGTGGACTACGTTTGTATAAAGAAAGACTTAACACTTTTTCATCTCGAGTAAATCGTCTACCATGTTTTTCTTTTTTACTTTCGCGTAATTGAAGACGTGTGAATAATGCTCCAGCAACTGTCAACTTATTACTGATTTTATCATTGAACACGTTGGAAAATTTCGTTGCTGCAGTTAGACGATCTTTAAATATTGCTTTCTTCACATTTGCATTAGTCATTTTTCTTTGGAAATATAAAGCATTTTTGTAAAGATGATGACATTTTGGTGTTAAATCAACTACTCGACGAACATTAATATTTTTTAAGAAGCCTATAGAACAAATTGACATTAATAAGTTATGAGTATGAAATATGTAACAAGACATTTTATAAATAAAATATAAAAATATTAATTTACAGCAAGTAATATAAAATCTACTCAAAATTACCAGAATGCCTATGCCGTTTTTTTGAAACTGTTATCGATCTATTTGCATTTTTAATAGCATCTACGCTTTTACTTTTACTATTAATATCATTATCATTAATGCTCAATTCATGCAAGCTTAAACTAATAGCATCGCCTATGTCAATAGCAACAAAAAAAAAACAAAATAAAATAAAATAATATACAAGCCATTTATTAATATAAAACATGAATCAACGTACCTATCAAATTGACTAAATCACCATCCAACTCCTGAATACCAGATAAATCTAAATCAATAGAAGGTTTTACAATTGCTTTTCGTACATAGGTATTTGGTGTAGAAGAAACAACATTATCAACATGTTCCGGCGAGGAAATAAATAACAGTGGACTGTATAATTTTGTAATTGGTTTTATTTGCTAAGTAAATAAATTATTATAATTTATAGGTTGCTTGAAGTCTCTGTGCAAGTCTGCCTGGGTAGGTCTTGCTTCAGAGGCTCCGCTGAACACACTGCCCGTTTCGTGCTCCGCACTGGCATTTATACCCTGGTCTCGCTCGCAGGAGCCGCCCATGAAATGTTTGTGGTTGGTGATTGGGCGGGGTTGAATGGCGGCGATAACGCTGGTTGGCCGCTGCTGCTCTCGAAGCCACGCCCACAGCGTTCTGTCGTCGTGTGCTTATAATAATTCTTTGACGAATACGCGGGTCATCAATAAGATTCGTTTGAGCAATTATGTAACTGTACATTATTGCAACCGGTGTCCCTTGTGACCGAACCGATCTGACCCGCGCCGTACATAATATATAGATCCGGCCGATACAGTCGTACGTCTCCCGACGTCAAATGTGCTTGGTGCAACATTTTATTCGTGACGAACGACTCACGATAGTGTCGACCGACTGTATTCCGGATCTCATCATATTATGCACACAACTAGTTGGCTGACTGCCCAGTGTGATGTCAGTTTTACATACATATAATACCATTAAGAAATATAATAAGAAATATTATAGAATAGATACTTCGCGTGGCGCGAACATATTTCCCCCCGGCAAACTAAGGTTCATATTGGATAGGTAGCATTGCCAGTTTCGTAATTGGCAGCTTCATAGTGCTGCCCCTTGTTTTGATAGTAGCCACTCGAACCAGTCCATCAGCTCCCTGTTGTAGCTGAATGATCCTACCTAAGTGCCAGTCCAGAGGTGATTGGTGGCCCTTCTTTAGTATAACCAAATCTCCTATTTTGAAATTAGCCATGGGCCTTGACCAATTGGGTCCTTGCTGAAGAGAGGTAACATAGTCACGGCGCCAGCGCAGCCAAAATTTCCGAAGCATTCTTTGAACCAGATCCTATCTTCGTCTTGGACAATTTACCGTCGGTTCATTGAGCAGGGTCAGCTCTGGGAAAGTCGTTAACGGACGGCAATTAGAAAGTGCCCTGGTGTTAATACTTCCAGGCAGTCAGGATCATCGGAAACTGCCATCACGGGCCTTGAATTCAGATCCACTTCAATTTGCACTAGTACTGTGTGTAGCTCCTCGAAATAAGGTATACTGTCTCCGATGCATCCTCGCAGATGGTATTTTGTTGATTGAACTCCGGCTTCCCATAGGCCTCCAAAATGGGGGGGCATGAGGAGGAATAAATCGCCAGTCTATCCCTTCTTGGTGTGAGTATTCTAATATCCCCTTACTTAGAGAATTATTGTTTAGGAACCCATCCAATATTCTGTTGGCTCCGATAAAATTCGTCCCATTGTTGGAATGGATTTAAATCGGCCTTCCTCTGCGAGATATGAATCTGCGCAGTTCCGCAAGGAATGTCACGCTACTGAAGTCTGATACCAGTTCTAGGTGAATGGCACGAGTGCTAAAGCAAACGAAAGGTGCCTTGGTGAGGACCCTGCTCCTTATTTCTCCATGCCTTTTGGATATTGGACCAGCGCAATCGAAGCCTGTGACATATAATGCTGGAGATGGGTTCACCCTGGCGGCTGGCAAAGGTCCCATCAATTGAGCCGCTGCTCTGATTTGCCATCTGCAGCTCTCCATACACCTGTGCGTGTGAAGACGCACTGCATTTCGTCAACCGAATATCCAATATCGCCGCTGGAGTGAAGCTAATAGGTGTTGAGGTCCATCGTGCATCAATCGTCGATGCTCGTAATCGACTAGCAGCCTTGTGAGTTGATCATCGGCATTGAGTATAATGGGGTGGCGTTCATCAAAACTCGCATGCGTATGTTGTAACCGGCCACCAACTCGCAGGATCCCAGCTGCATCAATGAATGGGGTCAGAGACCTCAGCTTACTGCTGGTTCGGATATGTTGACCCCGAGCTAACAGGTGCATTTCTTCCAGAAAATACCACTTCTGAGCCTGTTTTAGAAGTACATTCAGCGTGCCTTGAAGCTCGCCTGCAGTGATGGGTCCATACATTTATTCGTTTTTCGAGCGGCAATTGTACTTAAATCGCAAGCAACATGCGATTATTCGCTGTAGCCTTTCTAATTGGTTATACAACATTGCCATGTTGAGGTCCGTAGATACCTTCAAGGAGATGGTGATTTGAGATCTGCGTTCAGGGATCTCTGATTGCAACATGGCAACTTCAGCGTTAGGCCATTGCTGTTCGTCTGCCTGGAGCCAGAGAGGGCCATGCCACCATGCGTTGCAATTTTTTTGTTTTTTGTGGATTTAAGCCTCGGCTGAAATGGTCGGCCGGGTTGTCATTGGTGCCTACCTGGTGCGAAGAATAACTGATGGTGCACTCCTGAATCTCTGCTACTCTGTTTGCTACAAACTGCTTCCACTGGTTGCTACCTTGGTGATTTTTTAATCCATGCCAGGGCTATGGTAGAGTCACTCCGGATCACACGTTTTGAAAATGTAAGCGGTACAGCTGCGGTGATCTTGTTTGCGAGACACGACGCCAGTAGAGCAGCGCAGAGTTCAAGGCGTGGTATGGTGGTAACTTTTAGTGTTGCTACACGGGATCGTGAGCATAACAGTTTACAGCTGATGACATTATCTCTGCCCTTGCTTTTAATGTAGACACAGGCTCCATATGCGGCTTCAGATGCATCGCAGAATATGTGCAATTGAAGATCAGTGGGCTCACTCACTTGGATTACTCGACGGGGTATTCGTATTTCCTTTACATATATCAAATGGTTGTAATACCCTTCCCATTTTTTATGGTGGTCATCTGGTAGCTTAGTGACCCAACCAATTTTTTCGCGCCACTGTTCACGCACAAGAATTTTGCTTGAACCACCAGTGGCCCTACGAGCCCTAGAGGGTCGAATAATCTGGCCATTTCAGAAACCATTCTACGCTTTGTCCATGTGTTGGTGTCATTGAACAGTCTCGTAATGTAATGTATTTCATCGTCACGGGGTTGCCAATATGTGCCCAATGTTTTTGTCGAGCTGTTGTTCGTGAGTGAACTTATGAATTTCTCAGAGATCCTCCAGAGGGAGGTTTTTCAGAAGGGAAGGATGGTTTGCGCAACACTTGCGGAGTTTAAACTTGCCGCCATCACATAATTGGATCAATTGATCTCGCAGTTCTAAAGCTTCTGTCAATGTATCAGTGCCGGTCAGCACGTCATCCACATAAAAATCCTTGCTGACGGCTGTGGCTGCTAATGGGAACTTGAAACCGTCATCATGAGCGAGGGTTCGAGTGGCCAAGTAAGGGGCTGAAGAAGTGCCGTAAGTAACCGTTTGCAACGTAAAACCTTTAAAGGTTGTTCCGGACTCTCCCTCCAAAATATCCTTTGAAGGTGAGTCTGTGATTCCATTATTCTTATTTGTCGATACAATTTTTCCATGTCCCCTGGGAAAACATACCGGTGAATCCTGAACCGGGCAGTGATTGCAAAGAGATCGTCCTATACACCACTCGGAGCTTCGTTGTTTCGCTGTCAGCCTTGATGACGCTGTGGTGCGGCAGGAATACCTTCTGCTGATGCGCCTGGCCTGATGTAGGGTCTTCCTTCATATGACCAAGGTTAATGCACTAGCGCATGAAGTGGACATATTCCTTGTGTAGTTTGGGGTTGCACTGCTGATTCAGGAATGACAGATATTCCTGTATTAAAGGAAGTGAGGCGCTGGAACGGCTACTTTCCCATAAACGGTGGGATTCGACGTCTAATTTTTCTACCATTAGGTGGATGATTATGGCGTCCCAACGGTCTACCGGAAGTTTGAGGGCCGTCAACGCTCGCAGGTGACTATTTATACCGTTCTGGTGACTTCTCAAAATGGCTGATGAAACCTTCGTTATTGATGGCATGTTGCACAGTGCGTGGATGTGCCCTCCGACCATTTTACGATGGTTATCATATCGCTCACGCGGCTGCTCCCAGGCGGGTAAATAGTTCGCAGCTGTTGTCTCCAACGATTCGATGACTTGTGCCGCTTCATTTCGCAACGAGGGTTTGAGATAGTGCAATTTCTGAATGTCCGAGAGGTCCTTGTTCCGTCAAAAACCGGCAATGAGATTGGCGGTAGTCTGATGGCTGATTCAGTGTTGGGCAGTCTTATATACTCTGCTGCGCTTTGGCTTGCTCTCCTTAGATTTGTTTGAGCTGCCTCAGGAAGAACCATAGGCGGTGATATTGCTGCGTAGTAGGCTGTTTCTACAGCTGAGCGTTCTGCCAGCTGCTCTTCACGGGAATCCAATAACTCTATCTGAGTTTGACCAGCGAGGAAGTCCCCGTAAGAAGCTTCAAGTCTCGTAGTTCACATGACACATGCTTAGTTCCATTCTTGTTGATGCATCTGTGAAGTTGTTGCTGTCAAAGAATTTTTGAAAAGCAATGATTTGCCTTTTCATAACTCCCCGACGACCGATGAGATCTTTAAGTTCGGCAGCCATTTTAATCCGGTCCGAAGATGACCAATGTTCCGGCGAGGAAATAAATAACAGTGGACTGTATAATTTTGTAATTGGTTTTATTTGCTAAGTAAATAAATTATTATAATTTATAGGTTGCTTGAAGTCTCTGTGCAAGTCTGCCTGGGTAGGTCTTGCTTCAGAGGCTCCGCTGAACACACTGCCCGTTTCGTGCTCCGCACTGGCATTTATACCCTGGTCTCGCTCGAAGGAGCCGCCCATGAAATGTTTGTGGTTGGGGATTGGGCGGGGTTGAATGGCAGCGATAACGCTGGTTGGCCGCTGCTGCTCTCAAAGCCACGCCCACAGCGTTCTGTCGTCGTGGGCTTATTTAATAATTCTTTGACGAATACGCGGGTCATCAATAAGATTCGTTTGAGCAATTATGTAACTGTACATTATTGCAACCGGTGTCCCTTGTGACCGAACCGATCTGACCCGCGCCGTACATAATATATAGATCCGATACAGTCGTACGTCTCCCGACGTCAAATGTGCTTGGTGCAACATTTTATTCGTGACGAACGACTCACGATAGTGTCGACCGACTGTATTCCGGATCTCATCATATTATGCACACAACTAGTTGGCTGACTGCCCAGTGTGATGTCAGTTTTACATACATATAATACCATTAAGAAATATAATAAGAAATATTATAGAATAGATACTTCGCGTGGCGCGAACAGGACATTTGCCACATAAATCTAAATTAACAGAAGGTATTGCAACTACTGTTGATTTAGGAGTATCTGGATTGGATATAATTACTGGCAACTTTAAAGTTGGTATAACATTGCACTTCAAGCGGTTTGTACCAGGACTTTGTAAGAATGCAAAACACAATTGATTTGAATTGTATATAATTATGTGTTTTTTATTCTCACGTAATGAAATTATTTTGTAATATTTTACAGTTTATTCTTTTCAATATATTAAATGCTCTTTGAGCTACAATATTTTCAATATGAGCGTAAAGTTACAATTTATTCTTTTCGGGTGTACATAATATGCTCTTTGAGCCACAGATATTTATTACTCAAATATGAAATTAAAGAAACTCACTCGGATTATCTTTGATTAAGATAAAATAATATTTATTAAGTCCAATGTCAATCAGCGTTCTCGTGATGCAGGATGTCGATGACCAAATATACTGCAGTGGCCGGGTGGTAGGTATTACTCGTCCTCGGGTTGCAAATGATAGGTCTATCTTCTTATGGCTTAGTGTTTGTACGAATGGTACGTGTAATAACGTCGATTACACTACAAAACGGACAATAGGTATTGCGATACGTCAAGATGGCGGCGTACTTAACTCGTGGTGACGATGGACGGCGCGCAAGTTCGGGCGTCGATCGGCGGCGGCTGCGCGTATACGAGTTTTGACGGCAACGGCGATGCGACGGTCTACCGGACTGCGGCGACGAATATGGCGGTTTTCGGGGTGTGTGATGACACAGCTTGCCAATACGTGCTCGACGTATTACTGTGTCCCACACACCAACGATTTACGGCGGACCGCTCCTTTTACCTATATGTATGTAGCTTGCCAATACGCACTAGACGTATTACTACAAACATGAAGTAAAAGGAGGGTAAAACGAACAACGAACGGAATAGTAACAAGTGGTCTTTAGACTAAAAGAACTTTGAGTCGGTTACTGCGAGGCGAGATGTCCCTATTGGCATTCTTCGACCGGTATATCTGTAGTTTCGCGTGTTGAGATAGTAGGTAGCATAGCGTTCCCGTGTGTGCATTCCACGGCGATTTTTGTTTACTTAGGGTGTTCCTCGAACGTGGGCGGCTGCAGGTTTTTGTCAGCATAAGTGGTGAGGAGTCTGTTATTATGGTTTTTTATCATATTGGATGTTTATGAACTGTATATGTTCGAGATGAGTATCGTTACCGAAGAGTGTGTGCGCCCGCACGCACTCTAGGTAGATTATTATTATGTGCTGGTGACAACGCACTATTATAAAATTTGACACCGAAGACTTAATGAGCTTCGCTGGTAGTATAGATGACTTCTTTTGGTAGTTAGGAAGCTCCAGTTAGCTTCAATATCGTTCTATCGTACTTTTAGATCATAAAAAGTTAGCCGTGCTAACACGTGTATTCAGTCCGTCGCGCCTGTGTGCACTACTAGAGCGCGCACGCTGTTTCGAAACGAACATAATTCTGTCTCGTTACAACTTCTATCATTTTCGGTAAAGTGGACAGAACACACTCGTTTTTTAAAATACACCTCATCTGGGTCTATGTTATGGAAATCAATATCTATAATATCCACCCATTTGTTAAAGTTTGCCAAAAAATAACGTGGGTTCGGAAAACGATGTGATTGCATGCCTATAAAATGGAATTATATTTTTATTATTCATTCACATTGACCTTTAATATCTCACTGTCAGTACAAAAGAACTGTTTATCAAATGTTTTAATTGTTTGGGAGAACATTTAATAATATTAAATATATTATTAATACCTAGTTAGGATATCGATTACCTAAAAACACAAAAATGCCTTATAAACTTCAAAAATGATCAAATATGAATTATAATATTATAACAATTTATAGTACCAGTACATTTATATTTTAAGCATTACATTTTATTTTATTTAAAATTATTAAAAAGTAAAATATAAAATAAATAAATAAAGCGTGTATGGTTGGAGTATGTCTGAAAGAGCACTTGTCTTGTTTTAACAATGTGTAACACCATAGCCCCACAATGTATAAAATTAAAACAATTTTTTTTGTTATAAAAATTTTCTTTAAAATCTAAGGTTAAAAAACCATGTGTGTTACCAGTACGCGCGCGGGAAGTTAAACTTCTTTTGAATGGTACACGTGAGTGAGTGAAAAAGAAAGAAAAAAATATTAATTAATTTAAAAAATGAGAAGAAGTATCCGGAAATACTTACAGTTAGCAAATGAAGTCGAAAGATCATTTGTATATATATTTTGAAGTATTTCTGCTTTTTTATAAACTTCTGATGGTGATAATTTTATTATTTGAAATAGAAAGTTAAATTTTTTATTGGCTTCATCATAGTAGAACTTTCTTTTTTCTAGTTCAGAATGTAGATTGTCAATAATAGCGTAATAAGTATTAATCCTTAAAGAGTCTCAAATTTCAAAATTTATTTCTCCTTCTCTTTTTTCATCTGCAGTTAATTTTCTTTTTCTTTTGCGTATTTTTTGATATGTTTTGTGTCCGGATTTATTAATTGCTCTCTCTTCATAGATATCAAACATACTCCTTAAATCTAATACATATTGAATTAATGATTCGTATAAACATACCACTGTTTCTAAATCAATCTCAACTGACTGCAACTGTTTACTAGTTTTGTTGAATCTTTCTAGTATATCACCCCATAATGTGGTCATAATAGCTGTTTCAAGACAGTCTAATTTTAAATATAGTCCATTAGCTTCTGATTTTGTGATTGATTTTTGTGATTTATCATTTTTTATAAAAGACAGTGCATTAATTATTTCATTCCAATTTTTGTTTAAACTAATACTTGCATCAGATCTTGCTGACCACCTGGTATCTGATAGTTTTTTAAGTGATACATTTTCTGTTTTAGTTAAATTGTTCTGAAGTATTTCCCATCTATGTGTAGAAAAACTGAAAAATTTATAGATATTTTGAAGCAGATTAAAAAATTCAGAAGCATTTCTACAACAGTCTACAGCGTATTCACCAACAAGATTTAAACTGTGTGCCGAGCATGGTACAAATGTAGCTAAAGGATTAACTTCTTTGATGCGAGCTTGAAGTCCTGTATACATACCAGACATGTTAGATACATTGTCGTATTTTTGACCACGGCAGTTGTTTATATCTAATTCATGCGATTCTAAAACTAAAAATACAGCATCTGCTAATTCTTCAGATTTATGACCAGAATTGGGTAAAAACCCTAAAAACCTTTCTACCGGACTGCCATTATTTTGAACATACCGAAAAATAAATGATAGTTGATCTACATGGCTAATGTCAGGAGTAGAATCAATACTGATGGAAAAATATTTAGCTTCCTTTATTTCTTTTACCATTTGTTGTAAAACTTTATCTGCCATTATACTTATGAACTGCTCATATATATTAAAAGATAGGTATGATGTTGAACCTTTTCCTTTATTGCCAAACTTTTCAATATGCTGTGCTAAAAAAGGATCGAATTGAGCAATAAGCTCTAAGCTCATCATGAATTTCCCATTATGAACAGATCTAAAATGGTCATCATCACCTCTAAAGGACAGTCCACGAGAAGAAAGTGATTTAACAACAGCTACAACTCTAGTCAATACATTTTTCCAATAACTTATTTCCGTTTCTACTTGATACTTCAGCTTTTGATCAATTCGATTTAATACTTCTCCTCTCTCTTTCATTTTAATTACACACAATTTGTGGTTTTTTGAATTTTCATGACGCTTAATTTTTTCTTCTCCTTTTTTTCCAATCTGAAAAGCTAACTGTGGCAAACGATGTAGTACCACCAAATAAGTAGCAGGGTGCACAAAATATTGATCCTTTACTCTCTGAGTAAACCAAAAATGTTCTTTTAATTTTTTCACCATTAACAAGAGTAGATACAAAAAAACTTTTTGACAAATATCGAAAACGAGTATGTCTAACACCACCAATTATTCGATTATAAGTTCTTTTTGATTTATGGAAATTATTGTTCTCCAAATTTTGATTGAATCCATTTATTGATAAATAATCTATCGTTTCTTGATTTTTCATCCAATTTGCAGGGTCATTTCTGAAGGTAAAATATATTCATTTAATATACTATACATATATAACTATATTATAACAATTTTTAAATAAATATTCAGGCATTAGGCAATAGAGATTAATTCATAATATAACTAGAGAATAGTGGTATTGGTTGGTATCATTTTAAATAAACAGAGTGTAGTAGTGTACAGTGTACTACATTTATTTATATTTTAATTTCTAACATAATTTGACATAAGAAACTACTAAAAAAAAAAAGTCTTCCTATGTGCATATTTATAGTTGTAACTTATTATGAAAAAAAAATCTTACTCAGGAATGATACATTTTTTAAGAAGACTATTATCTTCGTGCATGGACAAACATGGTGTTGGTGTATTATTTATTTCTTTAGATTCTGTAGACAATTTAGTTTTACTAGGTTCGGTACTGCTGTTATTTGATAAAATTAGATCGTCTGGATTAGATAGATTATCTTCCTTAACAGTACCGCTATGATCAATTTTACTTGTATTATTTACTTCATTTTCAACTGAAAGCATTTAAGCATAAATAACAATGATTAAATATATCTACATTTTAGTTTAAATTATGTACAATAATAAATAACATAATAATATGTATATAATATATATAGATTATAGGTGCATGATATTTGCAAAATTAATAACAGGTATAGTTTTGTAGGTAAGTAAACATACTTTGGTTAGGCTGTCTATCTGGGCACCTAAAATATGTTTGTAATTTAGCAGTTTTTGAAATAATTTTGGCTTGAGCTTCACTTTTTGCATGTGAGCGTTTTCGGTTTTCTGCTCCACTAAGCTTTTTACTATAAACCATCGCCGCGTTTACAAGCGATTAACAAGCTTAAAAAAAATAAGATGGGCAATAAGCATAATAAAAGCGCCATAAGCTCAGTACGCAGAATACAAATTACATTTGATAATAAATAATAATAACGTTAATATTAGAACTGAAAATAATAATCAAAATACAAATATTTACCTTATTCAAGACTGGATACTGCAATACAGAGCGTCAGAGCATCAGGCATAGGTATAACATACTAAAGAGTAAAAATATTAAAATGCATAGGCCAACGGCCAACAGGCAACAATAACAAAAATGATAATAACAATAACATGATTGGTACCAAACTACCAAAGTCTAAAAGTCAGTAAGTCACTACTACCAACTTGATGGTAGTAACACATGGCAGGCTATCAGTAATCAATTTTGTGTAGTTGGTACATAGTATGATGAAGTAGGTCGATGATTTTGACATGATAATAATATAAACATTTTCGATTTTCATGACAATGATATAAAATAACTTAAATAACTATTTTACGATTTTCTAAGATTCTACCATTCTGACGCCTGGTGGCTGGCGCCCTCTCAAAATTTGGCGCTTGGGGCCCAAGCCCCCCGATGCCCCCCCCCCCCTAAATACGTCCCTGCACTTACTGTTATAGAGTGCAATACATTTTTAAAATGTAAGTCATTGTTGATATTGTTAAGGTAATACCTAACCATTAAATATCAACTCACTGTATTTTAACTTTTGCTATAGGTATTTACAACAAATGAACAAAATACTTGAACGTTTTCTTATTACTACTACCACTACTACTACTTACCACTGACCTAGGTCTACTCTCTTTTATTTGTAAGTTACGGTTACATGCTTAATTATTATTCACTTTGCCCTATGATACATAATATTATATACATTGTTTCTCTACATAACTTATACTTTACTTTACTACTATAGGTACTACAAAACATTCTTGAAAACTAAATGTCTATTTTGTCATAAAAATATTAATTAATAACTTATTATATTATAATTGTATAGAAATGAAATAGTAGGATAACTTGAACGACATTCAATTGTGTTACTGCTGTTTCAGATTTCAATTGACTAAAATACATTGACTAACTATATCAACGTTTACTATATTGACTTAAACAGCAGAACACTTGACACATTTTCCTAATGTTACTACTACACAAAGTAGGTATTATTACTAGACTCTTTACTAACCTCTCCTATACTGGATAAGTGTTTTATCATTTTACATATTGTCTTACTGTTAAGATTATTTCAATACTTTCTTTGCTTTATTTATACAACTAACTTTGTTTGTACTACAGTGTAACATATTTACTAATATTGTGTGTTATTTGATACATAGTTTTGATAGACCGTAGAATAATTTCATATAAATGCACTTGTTGCATATGAGTATACTGTTATTGAGTTTTTTAATGTTTGTTATTGTTACGGTAATACCTAACCAACACAAGATTATATTAAATTATGTATGAACAACACACTCTTTTACTACTACTACTACTACTTACTACTGACCTAGGTCATTTGCAAGTTGTGTACTAGATAGGCATTTTATCATTTAACATGTGGTACTCTTAGAAATGTTTAGATTATTTCAAAAGTTAATACAATACAAGGTGATTTTTTATCATTGAACACTCATTATTTCAAAAAGTATTAATGTTTAAGAAAATATTTTTTTACATAGTTTCAAGTTGTTAAAAAACAATATTTTTATTAAAAAATTATATTTTTAAAAATTTTTTATCCTTTTAATTTTTTAAGTTTTTTACTTTTTTGAATGACAACATGTAATTTTAATTTGATATTCAAAAACAGAATATTTTTCTGAGTATTTCGATACATAAAAATTTAATTTAGGGCAATTAGTTTATGAGTTATAAGTATTTAAAGTTTAGATGAGCGGAGTAGAGTGGTACGGGGTTACCCCGCGAAATGTTTGTCCACTACTCGCGAGTTGTGACTAAGTATTTTAGCTGGTGTCTATTCGAGTTGAGGCTGGCTGCTCGTCTGATGAACGCTTGTCCATCAGCTCTCCTCGATGGATCTCTGTCCCTTGTCCCTTGCACAAATTCTAAGAACATACATGGTCCTGCGGTTAAGCCTAACGTGATTCACACGCTTGCACGCGCCGGAAGTTTACATATAATAAATCTATGTTGTACATTTGTGGTGTTATTTAACATAACAACACAATTCTAAACTATATTATTTTACGATTATTCATATACGTAGTCATATATCTATCGTCGCACGCCGCTCATGGTCACGCACTCGATATTACTATTATTGATATTATTACTATTAATCTGTACTCGAGGAAGCATTCGAGTATAATATTTATATTTACGCGACGCGTATATTATATGATTACGTATACATTGTAATGTGTCTTTAGACGAACCATGTGGCAAGATAGTATTTATATTTACTGTAAATATTTCCTTAGACCAATTTGTTTTTAATTTATTTCTATAAACATCAAATATTGATGATAATCTAACTCTTTCATTTATTTCAAATTTAGGTACAGAATTAGTAATATCATAATTATAAACAGTAGAAAGTAGATATTCCTCGTTTTCCTTACTTACATCAACAGGTTTCATTTTTATTGTTCTATGGCATGTATTATTATATGTCTTAATAATCTTCGGTAATTCAGAAATCCGTACTTTGTCGTTATTTTTATAAAGTACTTTTTTTATCTCATTACCAAATTTCCTGTTAAAACGTTCTATTATAGAAGCCTTTTTATCGGTACCTGTACTATACATTGTTATGTTATATTTATTTAGTATTTGTTTTAAATCTTTATTATAGAATTCTCTACCTTTATGAACATGACATTTTTTAGGTGCATTATGTTTAAATATTTGTGAAAATGCCTCAGATACTTCTAATCCACTTTTTGTTTTCAAAGGTGCATAATAAACAAACTTTGAAAACGTATCAATAATAAAAAGTATATATTTAAAACCATTATTAGCTTTATACAATGCCTTATGATTATCATTAACTTTAATTTAATTATGTTTATTCCTTAAATTATAATAGGGATAACTATTTTTAGATTTTGGTCTATAAAACAGTACAAATCAGCTTGCCAAGTATCATTTATACCTCTTTGTGTGAAAAGTCTTGTTTCAAAATGTTTTCTAGCTGGTTAAATAATTCGTTAACTTCTACGTATATCTTCTGGTGATTTTGATATATTATTCTTCTTTGTATTACATTTTCCACATACTGATAATCTCCTATATTTATTATTTTTTTAAATAAATTCGGGAATACCTATACTTCTAGTTTGGGATTTACATTTTTTACAATAATCCATTTATTTAACATATTATTAATAATATTATTCTAATGTACACATTTTCATGTTATTTTAACATGAAAATATAAAATATTAGTAGTGAAATTAAATAAATTGTTTATAGTTTTTAAATTCTAAACACAAATGTTCACATATAGGTGGATCATCATAATCTTGGAATTTCTTGGTTATCTTCACCTAAATATTTTACAAGTTCTGGAGGAGGAGGCATTCCAAATGAATCGAAATAAATTTTTTTATTTTTATTTTTTTCCATGCAACCCAATGTGACCCGTCTTGAGTAGAATTATTTAAATTTAATATTCCACATTCATTTAACAGTGGTTTAAGAGGTAATTCATCTCTCATGAGACAACCTCTGAATATTTTTATATTATTTCCAAATTGTATTATATCAAAATTACTTAGCGGTTCAATTTTTGGATATTTTTTTTTTCAAATATTTTATAAATGATATTTATTGAAATTATTCATTTTTTCGATTTGTTTTTTTTTTCTTCAATCCAGAACCTTTATTTTCCATTGCTATATTATGTCGAATTGTTTCTTTTACAATTTCTTTATTATGAATATAATTCATAACACTATCTGCAATTGCCTTAACGCCAAATGAATTTTTTTCAGGTACCTATGATGCTAGAGCTGTGCTACCATTTTTACCTAATATTGTATCAGGAGGCAATGTATTTTTTAATTTTATCGGAGAACTTTTAGGTGTTTGAATATTTTCATAATCCTCTGTACTTAATATTCGTAATAGCTCTGGCTTACGAGGATTATTAGGAGTTGTAGGTATTAACATTTTTTGAATATCGTTATCAGTTTTAATAGCAACCTCTTTAACACCATTAACAGATGATTCAACTTTTGATAAACCTTCTAATATTGATCCAAATTGTTTTACTTTATCTTCTGCTGAATGTATATCGTCTATAACTCTTTTTCTATAGTTACTTTTTAAATTTTTTTTAATACTAATTATTTTTTCTATGTTTGCTGGTGAATATTCTTTTTCTTGTAATTTTTTTTATCATATTCATCTTCATATTCATCTTTTCTCAAATTATTTACCTTTTTTTCAGAATGTGATAAGTCTAATTTTTTTAATTTTGTTCCAGATGAATTAATTCTTTAATATTTTTAGGTTCGTTTTCTAAATTAGTTCCTTCCTTGAAATTGTTTTGTGTTTCTGTTGGATCTGTAAATGTAACTATTTTTAAATTTTTTTTTTATTTATTATATGAAAAATATTAATTTTTTCAGTATCAAGTACTATTAAGCATAATCAAGTAGTTTTTCAAGTTTATAGTATAAACAATTATTGAGTAGATCGATTGTTATAAATCCATAATCGTTTTTCCAACAATCTGAACCTAAAGTTTTAAAATCATTTAGAGAAATAGTATTACTTAAAAAGGTGGTTAAGTGGATGTCGCTCTACTGTACAGTAAGTTACAAGTGGGTCACTGTATAATGGATGCTATTAAATTTGAATTCAATGATTCAATATCATTGTATAAGAAAAACGATTCTGAGCGAAGACGGTATGTCAGTCTAGGTATAAGACATATTATATACTTATCTATGGTATTAAAAAAAAATTGACCTTTAATAAATTCCAAATTAATCATATCACATTATCACAATATCCATTAGGAGGTACTTATAACACGTTATACATCAACATCAATAACAAACCCTGATACTATCATAGATATATAATAGTACACTTTAGAAGTTTCAAGTAGGTACCAACGAAAAATATTATATAATCACAACAAAATAACTAGGTTTTTTAATATGTAAATTCGTCCAAATTTGAACATAAAATGACTATAAAAATAAACTGTGATTGTATATTTTTTATATTTTTCGGTAAGAGAATTAGCTACTTACGTGGAATCTTGTTTTAAATTTTCAATCCTTAGCTATAAAAACTGAACATTTTATAATTTATTAATTACGATGATTAATAATTTTCGAGATTTTGAAGAATTCTGTTAAAATTCGATGTTTAAATGCTTATAAAAAAAAATTGTGAATATGTATTTTTAATATTTTTCAACTGATATTGTAACAATATATCAGGAGCTTTGTATTAAATTTTTACACTTTTTGGCCCAACAGATAAAACTTTATTGATATTCATAGAAAAAAAACACTAAAAAAATTTAAAAATGAAAATATCCGTAAACAGCACAAAAAGAGTCTAAATATTTTCAAAATTGTATGGTGTATAGGAAATGCTTATATAAACATTCAGTGAAATTTTCATGTATCTATAGTTATTCGTTTATGAATAACAACAAAATAAGGAAATCGCTACATGAGAAATCGAGTGAACATCCAATGTTGTAAAAATTAGAATTTCAAACGCTCATAAAAATTTAATTTGACTTTCCGGTAGAGATTTTTTTATTGATAAATGTAGGAAAAATTTTTACGAATTCTTAACTCAAAATAATTTGCTAATTTTCGTGATTTTTCCATATTTTGTCAATATTTTAACTTTAAATGCTTAGAAAAAAAAACTGTGAATAACGATTTTTAATATTTTTCATCTGCCTCTGAAACAATATACTAGGAGCTTTGTATTAAATTTTCAAGTTTTCGCAACCAACAAATAAAATTTTATTGATATTTCTAGAAAAAAAACTAAAAAAAAATGAAAAATGAAAATGTCCCTAAACAGTTCAAAATAAATTAAAATATTTTGAAAATGTTATCGTGTATAGAAAATGCAAATATAAACAACCAGTGAAAATGTCATGTATCTACGGTCATTTGTTTAAAAGTTACACCAAAAACCAAATTCGATTTTGTCAAAAACAGATTTTGCGTAAAAATTCCCGTTTTTCCTTAATTTTTATGTTGTTTTTCCTGGCGCTTGTGAAAACTATTGGGAATTTTAAATTTTGACCTCCCAATGCACCAACGATATTCACTTTCCAATCGAACAAGATACTGAAGTCGAAAATCGAAGCATTATTTCGACTACTTATCGTGTACACAGACACAAAAATAAAAAAAAAACACACATCATTGTAAAATCAATACATTCATCGTTTCACTCAGAATCTAAAAATCATTCCAAATGTTTTTAATATATAGAGTTGATTTAAAAACTATTAAAAGAGTTAAATTATTTCTTATATATTGTTTATTTGCTGAACCATAACATTGATTTAAAAAAATAACTGAAATATTTTTTGGTCTTAATCTATTCATATATTCATAAATAGGATTTTGTTCATCTAAAGGAATATCATCAAAAACAACTAAGCTATCACGTTCACATTCGTCTACAGATATTATATCTGTATCAGATTTATAAAAATAAATCTCAGGTATACTTTCAAATATTTCTATTAGGTCATTATAAACTGGTTGGTCGATATTTTTTCCAGAGCCTGATGGACCAGTTATTTGAAGTCGCATAGGTAAATTAAATAAAGATTTTATTTTATTTTTTATTTTATATGGTTTTATTATAAATTTTTTTATAATAAAATTGTTTTTAATTTTTATTATTATAAACAATGTATAATATTTTTAAAAAGTATGATCAGTTTATTGAAAGTGTTCAATTTTAAATTTTTACACCTACGAGTAACACCCAACTTAATACACCTAATAAAGATACCATTTTTAAAATAAATAATATTGATAATTTTATGGATATTAGAAAAGCAAAGTTTTATATGTATGGTAGATATTTGCAAAAAGATGGATCTTCGTGCCCGGCATAATCTATAATTGTAAGTATCCTTTTTTCTATCATTTCGTGATTGTCGTCTAGGAAATGGTTTCATTATATAAGTTTTTAATGAAAACGCTTCATCGCCTATAATAACCATAGGCGATTTTTCAACTTTACCGGGCAAAGGCTTATCTTCAGGTACATTCAACATCCCAGCTTCTAATCGCTTACCCAAATATTCCCCCGTCAGAGTTTCGTCCATATCCACCGACATCTAAACAAATAAACTTATAGTCTGGGTCCACAATTGCCATTAATACGACTGAAATTTTTTTTAAATAACAAAAGTTTCTTGATCCATATTATTAGGACATTTAATTGTCACGTGTTTCCCATCTACACTTCCAATACAATTAGGAAATTGCCATTTTTCAAAAAAGACCTTGCGCTGATTTTGTTCAAATTTCCTCAGTAGGTTCCGGCATATATATAGGACCCATGTGTTTAATAATAGCTTCACATACCTCTATGACGATTTGACCTACTGTCGTAAATCCTACCCTATAACTATGACCGATTGTCTTATATGAATCACCAGTCGCAAAAAATCTGTAAATAATAATAAAATAATATATAAATATAAATATATAATAATAGTAAAATACTTTTTTAGGAGATGTATAAAAATCGAAGTGGAAAAACTTACGCGATACGTATCAAAAGCATTTGAGAGCTAATAAAACATCTACCGGCCAAAGTGTAAATGGGACCAAAAATAAAAGCCTCTCTGCTTATAAAAAGTGGCAGTCTCATATGGAATATTTAAAAGAACATATGGGTTTTTAGTAATTAACTATTTTACTATTTTTATTTGAATATAAATTAATCGTAAATTATTTTTTTCCAAACTGAAAGAACTATATCCAACGTCCACGAACCGGCTCAAGACGAAGATAATGTTACGAACGATATGTCAAATTGCACTGCATCTACGTTTGAAAAAAACGAAGTCGTATTTTCTGCGTCTCCTAAAAATCCTCGTAAAAAGATCAGAGATCTAAGTCAAAATGATTCGCAATGTTCCAATATTGACAAAATATTAGAGCACAAAACAAGAGCAAAACCTCACATTATGCTATGGATGGGATTGAACTGTTAATGGTGGGCCACGCAAAAACTATAAAATCTTTTTCAGCTAGACGGCAAGCAATAGCTAAAAACAAAATAGCTAAATTGATCGAGGAACTAGAGTTGGAACAAATCGATGAAGACACAGCAACATCATCTTCGTCTCAGTCGTCTCACTATAGCATGCCATCAGTGACTCCAACGAGTCCGAAGCCGTCGATTATGAGCAATTATAATAGTGCTGACAATTTAGATGCAATGTACTATCAGTTGTAGTCAATTTTATTTTTTTTATTCTAACAATTAGATAAAAATACTAAACATTTTATATATTATTATAAAATATTATAATATTATTATAGTATTTATCATTTATATATTATAATAACCTACCTTAAAGCAATAGCGAGACGTTCAGGTGGAGGTATTGGCACACGAAAATGAGTCGTTTCTTTACGTATATCTTCATTAATAAAATTTAAAATTTCATCAAAACAATTTGATGTCATTCGAAAATAAATAAAAAAACGTTTTGCATCATTTCGTAGTTGAGGCATTAAATGATTAAATTCACCTAAACTTTCTCTTTGGCTATTAATTTCATGAACCCATTATCGTCTTTTACTTCTAAAAATTAAATATTACATGATTTTTTTATTATTTGTTATTGTAACAGCACAAACTGTATTTAAAATACAGTTGTAGCTAATATATTATAATTAGGGTTAGGATGTTGATGACTTTCGTCGTCTTTCGTTTGATACCATCATACATATTTTAATTGTACAGTGCAACAATGCAATATGAATATTAATATATTATTATCACATCAACATATTCAACATCCTAACTCTAATTATAATATATTATAATTTTTTGAGATCTATAAGTCCCTAAGCTTAATTATAATCCTATGGTACCTTTTTGTTCTTCATCATCTATTACAGCTGCTAACAGTAATACATCTTCTTCATCTGAACTTGAGTTTTCATAATAAATATCCATGGTATGATAACAATTTAAAAAAAATATAGAAATATGTTGTTTTGTACTTTTAAATATTAATATTAGTAAAAAAAAAAAATACGTAATAACAAAATACATGTACGCGTATGGGTGTCACAATGTCGACTAGTAATTTTTGGCGAAATATTTCGCTCCGGTTAGGTTAGATCAGCGGTATTTAAAAAGCGATAAATACCGCTGCCGCTTCGGTTTGAGTGAACCTTAAGAATTATATTCGATTTAAATTTTCGATGTTTAAAAAATTTTATTTTTTTTATAATAATTAATAGTAATGAAAAATAAAAATCAAATTAATGAATTATCTTAGCCAAAAACTATAAAAAAAAAACGATAGATGCTAATAATGTAAATAACGAATTTGGTAAATATAAAATCAAGAATAAAATTTACAAACATAAACAAAATAAAGCGGAATCGTTTCGCAAATCATGGGTAATATTTAATAAATTTAATAAAATATTACAAATAAAGTACAATAATCAAGAAAATACGTTTACATCGGAAGAAATGGGAGGAATAATACCGATACGAGCAATGTATTATTGCAGTCATGATTGGAATCAAGGCGCAATATCTGAATTTATTGATTTTCGAAAAAAACTGGAAATTTCCTATTTTGTATTCTCAGGTTAGGTTAGTTATCAATGGAAATGTTTTGGTATGATAAAGTCTGAAATTACAATATCCCAATTTATTAAACATTTTAATAATAATTTTATTGATGATTTTGAGAACACATTGTGGTTTAATTTCTATAACTACATAGATAATAAAGATAAGTTATGGTTATTAATTGATATAATTTCGAATTATCATTTTATGCCATGTGGTCTAACTTCACAAAACGATGATACAGATAAAGAATATGAATGTGGAAGTATTAATTGTGAAAAAAAATTGCTAATAAAATAAAAATAATCGAAGATGTTAACAAAACAACAACTTGTTAACTTGTTAACAAAACAACGACTTGTTAACAAAACAACAACTTGTTAACTTGTAACTCGTAGAACTGTTATTTTTTAATAAAAATATTTCTATTAAAAAAATATGATATTTAAATACATTTTTTATCATTTTCAATAAATTCTAAATGCAAATGACCATATGTAGGTGGATCATTATAGTATTTTTATAACATTTTGAGTAGAATCATTTAAATTAAATACTCCAGATTCATTTCAACATGGTGTTATAGTGTAATGGGATTACGCAATATCATATATTTTGCTCATAATAACAACCAGGAATGCGACCACACCCAAAAGTGTTTTCGACTACGAATACCACTTTCATAATCGTGAGGTCCATATCAAGGACGACTGTACACGCGCCGCTCACTTTCAAAGGACGCCGCCACCATATATATAGGGGACAGCGAGACAGCCTGAGTTAGATGTATCCAGAGACGAGAACACCACACGACTCGCTTAGCCGCCCAGCCATCACACACGACTTACACGGAGATTATCAACTTCGGAACGAGCTACAAATTCACTACAATCAACACTACTATTCTGCTTGTTTTGTCTGGTTTAATATAATACATTTGATTACTAAACTAATTTGACTATTATTATTTATCAAGTACACCAGCTTTTGGATCCCTGAAGGGCCGCATGTAACACTGGCGCAGTCGAAGGTAGGATTCCACAAAGGCAGGCAACCATCAAAGGCTACTGTCAACAACGAAGAATTGATCACTCTTCAGCGAAGACAACTCCAGGAGGAACCAACAAAAAAACAAATAAGTCACATTGCAGTACCAACAAATCCATTAGCAGCATCATCAACGGCAACATGTCATCATCAGCCATGAACGCAGCATTATTGTGAGTGAATAGTTATTTAAATTTGTTACATAGACGTATGCAACATAATTAAGACATATTAAGATAAATCTAGGTAGTTGATTATAAGTGTAATGGTGTAAACCGTTTTAAATTTTATTGAGGGCATATTTTATTGATTATTATTGAAGTTTATTGAGGGCATATTGATTATTTGAAGTTTTATTATTGAGGGCATATTTTTATTGAAGTTATTATTGATTATTATTGAAGTTTATTGATTTATTGAGGGCATTTTTATTATTGAAGTATTATTGAAGTTTATTGAATTTATTAGAGGGCATATTATTGAAGTTATTATTGTATTTATAGGGCATTATTGAATTTTATTGAGTATTATTATGATTATTAACGTATTATTAACGTATAATAGGTGGTTATGTTAATTTATGGACAAAGAAGATACATCTCCCTTGAACGTAGCTAATTCATTGTATGACACTAGTGTAGTAGAAGAAGCCCAGTTAGAAGCCCAGTTATTAGCCCAGAGAGAAGCCCAAGCCCAGTTTGAAGCCCAGCAGAAAGCCCAGTTAAATACTATAGTAGATACCAAGTTAGTAGGTAGCACAAGTAAAACCCCAAGTCCACAATTAGGAGTAGTCACACGTAGCAAAGTCACAGATAGTTTTGAACATCAGTCGTTAGATTTTATATCTAAATCACGCAATAAAAAAATGGCAGTAACCATAAGATTAGAAGACGCTTTTAAATTAATTCCAGTATGCACAGGGATAGACGATATTTACCAATTCATAAATGCATGTGATATGGCAGTAGGTTTAGTCGACGCAACTAGCGCACCAATATTAGTAAAATATATTACTACGCGATTAACGGGTAGAGCACTAGAAATGATTAAATATAAAAACGTAACAAAATGGCAATTTATAAAAGCATATTTAACAGACGCATTCGAAGTAACAACCAACGCATCGTCGTTACAACTTCAATTAAATTCGATTAGAATGAATCACAATGAGGATGTAAACGATTATTGCCACAGAGTAGAGAAACTATACTATCAGTTATGTACCGTAAGCACATTAAACAAAGAGGCGACAGAAGCAAAAATTATACATGAAACATTAAGGGACCAAACTCTAGCAGTATTTATTAAAGGATTAGTAGAACCAATTAGAACGATAGTAAAATCTCGTAATGCTAAAACTCTTGAAATCGCGAAACAAATCGCTATGTCAGAACAGGTAGAGTTAAGATTAGAACAGGAAAACAGGAATCATTATTCGAGTAGTTATTCGCAAAACAATAACCAACGTAGATCGAATTATGAAAATAGGAACAACAGGAACGTAAGACCAAATAACTTTGTAAGGCCGAATAATTTTGCGCAAAATAATTATCCACGAGCAAACAATTTCTCTCAAAAAATTAATAGACCACCAATAAAATGTTATAACTGCAATGGAAATCATTTTGCATCACAATGTAGAAATAATTCGAGACCTAACTACGCGAGCAACGGAAATAACAACCGTCCACCTAATAGAAATAATTTTACGCAACCGCCGACAAATTATAATGCACAACCAGTTACGTGTTCATATTGCAATAAAATCGGTCATAATGTAGATTCATGTTACAAAAAGAGAAACGACGAAAGTAGAAATAATTCGGGAAACGCCAACGTGTCGAACGAGGTACGCGGTACTCGCACGATAAACCAGATTATCGCGGAACAGCCGACGAACGAATATTTCACATATTCGCAAAACTAGAAAATAATCATATAACATTCGATTCTAATGCCGCAAAAACAAATCAATTACATTTAATGATAGATACAGGTAGTCAGGTAAATATTCTCAAAATAAATTGCTTACGCGAAGAACTAGTAGACGAAAGGTAGGATAGGTAGGAAGTTTATAATACTTAGTGACCATCGTCCATTAACGTGGCTCTTTAATTTAAAAAATCCATTATCAAAGTTAGCTAGATGGAGAATACAATTAGAGGAGTACGATTACGAAATACGTTACAAACCCGGAGTTTTAAATTCAAATGTAGATGCACTCACACGCATGTACTCTATACAGGAAATAAAAAATGAATCATATGAAAAATTTCTCGAAAAATTAGAAACACAAATTATCACAAATAGTAATGTAAAAGAAACTATAGGCACAGTAATAGATTCACCAAAAGAATATAATATAGTGTCAGAAATTGCCAAGCAATATAATTTCAGAACAGGAACAAATTATCAATTAAAAAAACAATTTGGAAACGGTATAATATTGCCAACTAGTAAAGTAATAGGGGACACGCCATATTTTAAACATGAAAACCGGTTTATAATATTCTTAGTAACGAAAAACAAAGAACGCCAGAGGGCCACTTACGAAACTATATATATATCGTTAATAAATTTAAAATTATTTTGTAAGGAAAACAATTTGAATAAATTAGCCATGGGCAAGCTAGGCGATCACGATGATTTAGAATGGAAAAAAATAAGGTCAATGTTGCGATACATATTTCGCGAAACAAATATAGAAATAATTATATGTGCAAATGTAGAATATAGTGAAGAAGAAAAAGCAGTCATTTTATCACAATTTCACGACTCAAAACTAGGCGGACATTTAGGTGTGAATAAAACTACTAAACGTATAAAACAACAATTTATATGGAGGGGAATGAAAGAAGATGTTAAAAAATAT